ATGTCCGATATTCAGTTTTAAGGCCGATACAGGCCGGGACCGATAGGGGGCCGATTATATCGTGCATCCCTAATGACAGCAACTGCCACAATCCAATAAATGAATAAATTATTCAACTGCATCATTAATTTGTTAAAACTGTAAATAAATTCATAATTTATTTCATTAATGCATAATTAATCCTACACAGTAAATTCCACAGTGTTAAATATGCAGTGTCAAAGTACATAGACCCTTTTACAGTTATTACAACAACGTCTGGAGTAAAATATACATTATATTCAGTTCTAATTTAACACTAATTCTGAGTGTTGTACCAGTTGGAATCCTTGTACCCGGATTCCAGCAGGACCTTAAACTGCTTTCGTTCTTGGAACCTGGATAAATGGAATAAAACTGACCTTCACCGCATTTCGAGCCAAAACCCTGAAGACTCCGCAGAGAATGTTTAGGAAGCTATCAAAAGACAGGAAAAACACTTAAATGGTCTCACTTAACTGGCTGCGAGGAACCAGGACCTGAACCATAAAATAAACAAAATAGACGAACTAGAGACATAAACAAACAAACATCAAAGAATGATCTGGCCTGGATAGCTGAGCTGGACCGAATATAAAGCAGAACCTACAGCTGGATGAGAACTAGGCACGTGATAAAATGAGCAATTAAGGCCAGCTATCAGAGCAGATCATGACATGAATTCTATATTGGTCCTCTTTAGTTACAGTATATTGTTATAAACAACTGTTTTTGGTCACCTTTTGGTTAATATACTAAGGCAGAATGATTTTGCCAAAATTGCAATAGTTTTTTATCAAAATTGCAACAGCATTTTATTTTTCCTTTTTTCTTTCCCCTTTACACTACGCCCCAGCTTGTAGATGTTTCATACAAATTTTTAAAATAGAATAGAAGAATGGAATTCAACTTTATTGTGATTACCATTGTAACAAGTATAAAGCAACAAAATGAACTCTCGGGGATTAAAGGGGAACACCAGTTTTTTTACATTGGGCCCTTGATTTTACGTCATTACATCATCTTCTACTCACCCATATTAGTTTTGTGTCATTTGGAGCCGTTTTGAAGATATTCCGTTAGGTTATATCCAAGTAACGTCTTCCTATGGGCAAACGACTTGAAGGCACAAACTAAACTGTCCATAATTTATTCTTTATAGTACGCCAGCATTCATAACATGTAGGCGAATCACTGTCCCCCAGACATCCGTGGTTATATTTTTTATATTTATATGTTTTAAAAACAAAGCGTAGCGTGTATGACGTCATCCGCACACCGGCTACCATTCCTTCATAATGTCCGCT